CCTATCAGCACAGCAAACCATTGGTCGAAAATGCTGAAGAGAAAATAATGTGTCTAATAGCCTCAAGAAGATAATACATTGACAAAAGTTTACAGAAAAGCAATCACTGTTAAAAATTCACGAAAGGTTCCTGTGTGTCCAAGAAATACCAAAAGAATACCCAAAACCTTTCCTATCATTGCATAAAACTTTGAACAAGTCAACAAAATACAAAGATATTTCACCTTCTTTTTCTTAGGACGAAGCTCAACTTGATCCACGGAGCTGCCTCGTTCAAATTTAGAAACAGTGGCCTTAACAGCTCCTGTAGATTCTTTTGGTTCTTTTTCAAGATTTCCCTCAACAGGATCCAAGTCAAAGTCGGTCAAATCCAAATCACTTTTATATACGCCAAAATTATCCATATTACTAGTGCCTTGGGTGGAAATTTTACTACCAACGCCTGTGGTGGATAATTTACTACCAACGCCTGTGGTGGATAATTTACTACCAACGCCTGTGGTGGGATTAGAAAGACTTGCAGATTTTTGATATTTTGCGGCAGTTAAGAAATCTGAATATTTGTCGGTCCAGGACATATCCTAAGACAAAATTCCAAATTTGCAAAAATGAATTTAGACAAAAATTCCCAAAATTGTGACGTAAACTAATCAAATAGAAATTTGCAAAAGGTGAAATGGAAAACAAAAAATCTGCAAAACTTTTGAAAAGCAAGAATTGTGAACAAATTCACTAATGCAAATCAAATTCCACAAAAAATGAGTTTACAAATAAGAAAATTTGCAAACCCGAAAAAGCGATGTCCGTCAGTCAAATTGCTGTAGTTTTGCTGGGAGTATAAGATGAGATCCTACTGCTACCAGAACAGAGCTAGTGAATGATATCTCTAGGACTCAGACAGCCTTAAAAAGCCTGGAATTGTTTAGGGTAGTGATTGTCATTAGTTACCAGGTGGATATTGCTATACACTATCAACCAATAACTCCCTAGCTAGGATTAGTTATTATGAGATAATCTGCTATAAACTCATTAAGTTAATCTGTTAATCTCTCATAATCTTGTTAAACACTCTACTTTATGCAATCTTGATTTTGTAATACATTCAGTAATATTATGGTCTGATTTGAAAATACTTTTTTTTATTTTCAAGAGTAATGCAAAATATTATTTCATAACACACCAAATGATATCATAGTCCAGACCCAGTTTCAATGAATGGAGTTTTACACCCAACTTTTCTGTATCTTATTGGGCCAATGGAGAAGTCAGAGGACTTGAAAATAATGTAGTGTGGAAAACTCTAATTTGACAGGTTTGCGATAAACACACGACAGTTTTGACACAAACTTATCACAAACTTCTGATAAAAACTGTTTCATATATGGGCATATAATATAAAGGTAAACAAACCAATTTTTATCATTTGTATTCTTGACACTAAATTGCTTAATTTGATACCAAATTCAATACACACAAAAATATGTTTTTGAATTTTTTGGATAAAAAGTTTGATTTTATTTTAGATAAACAAGATTATTCAAATTTGTATATATATTCGTTTTTTTTTGCAATAATGGACAATAGTAAATTATCTTTCAAGACTTATCAAATCAATATTCAATATTTCTATGTTGTTTCAAATCAGATGACAAGTAATTAAGTCTAATTAAGTATAATTAGATTATCTATTAGTGAACACTATTAAACAGATTTCTAGCAAACAATCAGCTAATCTTGTTAATCCACTAATCTAACCTAATCTCCTCTACCAATGATTATTGACTACAGTAGTTCAGATTGAGAGTGGCTTGAGTAGGATTGGGAGTTATACCAAATGACCAGGTAAGAAATGTCAAGTATTTTATTCAATTTTGGGTTTTTTTTACGTATGATTGCGGCAAATTTTGGTTTTTCGAAACCAAGACCAATTTAAAGGAAAAAAAGTTCAGGATATAGTTCAAAAGTTGAAATTTTTTCTCGTATTTATCAACGCCATAAATTTGTACCCCCCTGTTAAGTTTTATCTTATTACCGTCTGTTGTTATTTTCAAAACTGTATCCATAGTAATTACCTTTAATGAAGTACTATGATAGTCTGCATCCTTCGATCGTACCATATCTTCTAAATCTTGACACTTCTTTTTATACTGTAGTAGCTGAAATAACAACAGAATAGTCATGATGTATTGCCAACACGGCATCAAACATTGGATTTTTGGGCTAGCAGTGTGGAACTATGGGTACAAAGTGTCAACTAGCAGGCAGTATGAAGTATGTCTTAGCTGGTGATGACGTCTGGGCAACAGGGCATCAGACAATGGATAAGATTTTTAAGCTACAAGAGAGGAATTATGGGACACACCATGTGTGAAAGTCTGGAGACCTTGAATAAGTTTTCCTCTTAATTCCAGTTGTCCCAGCTGTAAATGAGTACAGATAATCTTGGAAAGATCAATGCCAAGAGGTTTGGCTTGGGACCAGCTGTTAAAAGGGATCCTTAACTGTGAAGTTATCATCCTTGTAAGAACAGGCAGTATTGAGGAATGATTTAGCTGCAAGAAAGAAAATGAAAGCGGCAAATAGTGAAGTGTAAAAGGAGGGAAAGATTGCCAGAACGGCAGTAAGACTCTGACATACAACATGTATCTAAAATGGGAAGTACCTTAGCTTGTAGTTTTTGAACAAGTTGAGCCTGACGTTGTTGGCCGTCTTGATATGACTGTAATTTCCGCTTATAACTGGAATGTTCGTCTTCTAGTTTTCTTCGTAATTCTAAATTCTGTTGGACGACACTTTTAGCTGCATCTCCTACTTCATTCATGCTGCCTCCTCGAAGAGCTTGTTCTAACTATAAAATACAAGTAGGACGATCTCATGAAATACTTGGAAAAAAACAAAAACTAGACTAATATTTAACATGATTCTTGAAAGAAATGAAATGAATCTAAGTTCTAACTTCATCTTACAGAAAAAATACCAAATTTGAGCTCCACAACAATTAGTAGGTCTATTGTGGTAAGTGTTGCAAGCAAGAGGGTTGGCTCATTTCTGGAACACCTGATGACACTCTAGTTTTGTCAACTTGACATCGTCATTTATTCATTCTATATTTGTAAATTGTAATATGTAAATAGAAATGAATATGGCTTTACATTCTAGAGAATTTAAAAAATTGAACAAACAAGCCAATCCCTCTTCTAAATGCCTAAATATGTTATGCCCATTTATGGCATTTTATAGCAAGACACAGGAATTGCACTTTTTTTAAACCTACATAATTTCATTAACTTCAAAAGCTTTCCAAAGTACTTCCTGAAAATGGTCAATTCATAAACAAACAAACGCAAAAAAACAACATTATCAATTTAAACTTGACTAAACACTATTCTTACCCTATAGTTATATCCCTCGGACCTATCATATACTACAGATCCCATCCTAAATCCTTAATCTTAATCCTTGGTCCTTACTGCATCCTTTTTATACAAAAATATCCATTTTGACAATTGAGAAACATGTAATAACATGACACTTTCAATTTCCCTCTTATAACTCTCCTGTGCAGGAGATCGAAAAGTGATCGTTGATAGTATACTATTGTATCTTGATATATAACAATGGTTTAACTACTATAGCCATTCTTTAACAATTATTACTCATTACAATTCAATACTACAATTCACTGGATAACAAATCTCATAAGGATCGTTAGTCTTGGAAGACCAGGCACATACAATATGAGTTAATATTGAATTGATTGCCTAGTGTTATGGTACGTCAAGCTATTGTCAAGCTATTGTCAAGCTATGCAGGGAGTGTATTGTTTACGATGTTTTCCATGACTGTATTAATTTGGGCAGTGTATTAAATTGGGAAGTGGACTGTAAAATTCTAAAGGGAAGTAATTAATAATCTTTCTTCCTATTGAGACGTTCGGACAAAATCAATAACTTCTTTTCATTGATAAATACTACTTCACCTTGATCAAAAGAAGCCAATCTAAGAAAAATATTGGAATAAAAGTAATATAAACTTTCTATTTCGGTTAAATAGTATGTATCAAAGTACTTTTATCAACTTGATCTGTCAAAGGTATCATGAGTTTTCCACATTTGACCATTGATGCCATAAGCTGGTATCTAAATACTAATTTGACTAGATCAAAAGAAGCCAATCTAAGAATAATATTGAAAATACAGTAATATAAAGGTTCTTCTTAGGCTAAATAGTACATATATTCTAAGTAGTCCTACTTAAATCAACTTGATCTGTTAAAGGTATAATGTGTACTCCACATTTGACCTTTGATCCAACAGACAAATATTCAAAATGTTACTTAAAGTTTATTAAAAAGGCAATTTAATAATGATGTTACCATTACACTAGTTAGAAATTTGTTATGATATTGAGCCAAAATTAGACTGAACAAAATTTAAAGAAGGTCTTTTTCAGATCACAGATGACATGTGAAGTAACCCACAGAAAATAAATGAAACAAAACATTTAGACCTGCATGTAATTCAGATTCTAACTTCCAACTTTCTTGCACAAAATCTTACTAACCCCTCCAAAGAACTAAAACTTCCCAATAAAAGTCTTAGTATTGATTGGTGTTATCTCCCTTGTATTTGTATAGCTATATCATAAATCTTGTAAGTAACAATAAAACCTAGTGTTTAATACACATTATAGCCCTATATAGATACTTATATACCCCATATACCCTGATATACCTTAATATACCCTGATATACCCCCAGTAGAGTGGCCTATTAACACACTGATATACACTCCTTTCCAACTTCATAAAAACTGATTGGCTTTCAAATTCCGTTTTTTTATTTATTTCAATTTTCATCTCAGCTGCTATAACTAAGTTATATTTAATGTAAAATTAAACAGAAAGAATGATAAAAGACTCAGTTAAAATATACAGTGGTCCTCACACCATAGCGATCACCAGTTGTGTACGATTCTGAATAAGATTAGCAGTCATGAGTTTCAAATACAACACTCATGAAACTGAGTTTTTGTGACTTGCAGTCGAAACTCATTGTCACTTTCATTATTCACAATCATTAGTTTAAATAGATTGATACTTGCTTCTTTAACTCGTCCAATGACAAAACCTTGTTTCTTTTCTCCCTTGACGTGAGTCACCTTGGGTTGTTTGATTGGAACTTGATTTGAATCCAGGTCAACATCTTGGCTTGACTTTATATCATTATCTCCATTGACCCCTGACTGTTCAATTCCATCTGGATTTTCATCCAGGATGTAGCTGATTGCATTGTAATTCTCATTCAGGTCATCATCATGGCTTGATTTCATATAGTTGTCTCCCTTGACTTCAGTGACTTCAGGTTGTTCGATTCCAACTTGATTCTCATCCAAATTAATGTCATGTATTACTTCTTGCTGGTCTTGTTCACATTCCTCTAAAATTGATCTCAACTCCTCTTCCGAATCAGATTGAAATTCATCCATTTCATTGGTCGATTTCTCTTCATTGTCGGCCATTTTTACAAATCAATGTTTCTGATTGGATAATTCAAACCACAAAAATCATGAACTCATAAACTTTCCTACAGTTCATACACGATATGATAGGCACATATACCAAGTTTTAATAACGTTCATATAGCTGCAAAAATATTATTTAGAAAAAATTCCAAGCAAAAACAGTCTGAAACCCTAATCGATTAATATACTATACAAACAGATACTGATAATCCCTTCGTCAAATCTTAAAAAATAGCTTAATCCTCTTTAGTCCAAGTGGAGAGATATTATTGACGATGTTTGTAATGTCCGATAATACAGAATATCAAGTTACTGTCTTAAACAATATAAAATTAACAGGTAGTTTAGAAGAGGTATATCGTGTCATATAAATGTCATATATCTATTTGAGATAATCTCTGATTAGGGCTAGTACCGTAATAATATATGGTGGTTTCAACAAGATAAAACACACTTGTTCCTTGAATGACCATTTCTTCAAGAGTTCATAGTTTTATTTTTAGAGTTAATATTTAAAAATATAAAATTCCTTAGATGAATTCAGAGATAGCTCTGTTATTGGCCTAATCAGGATATGAAACGTACCCTAGATAAATCATGAATACAGTTGTTTAATCATTTTATAAAGTCTACAGCGTTCTATTCAGATAATCTTACTTTCAAACTTCATTTTTTGAAATGGCTTCATCCAAGAATCCAAACTTAACAGAAATTTGGCAGTCACAGTAATTCTGTTGCCATACTCAACGACCATCAGCTCCTTCCTTTATCATTTTTTCTTTCAAGCTTGACTAAAGTCTCTCTTGAAAAAGACACAAAGGCACACAAGCATCCAAATCAATCGAAATGTTCCAGTGAGGGAAATTCCTTCAACCAGCTTCCTCCCAAATTCCCAAGTGACAAACAGCTATTTCTTTACACCACTGAAACAAGCCAGCGCAATTCTTTCCAGCTCCACCAAGAAATTCCTTCGTGCAATTAACAAACTTGCCAGACTGGGAGAGCTCAATCCAAACTCTTAATGACAATCACCTATTTCGACACAAGCCTCAGCGATTCTCTCACGAAGGTCAGCCCCAATCCCCAATGAGAATAGAATACATTATAAATAGTTATAGTATAACTTGATGGAACTAAGCCGTCAACTGGTCAACACTGGTAAATCTTCTTTGACTTGTCAATCATTTTAAATCTTCTCGAGTATCAAGATCAAACCCTGGGTTGTTTGATTCATAATAATAACGAGATCAATGCTGAATGAATCAAACAGTCCCTCATAGATAATTTGGAATATCACGTACTATGACTTGTAATGGGCCAAACAATCAGAATACTTGCAATACCTTGCAGTGAGTAATAAGGCAAATTTACATTTAAATCATACTGCTGCACCTGTGTGCAATGAGGAAAATTTGTCATATAAAGAGGTCTAATCTCTGAATATTTCCATCTAATTTACCAGAATAATTGATACAGTTTTATTGCAATTTTGGTTTCAAAACAGTTTTAAATATCTTTAATTATGTGCAATTGGTATAAGTAGTAGATTATCTAAATAAAAAACTTTGAAATGAAATGTTGACTGTTCCTTTTCAGTAGTACGGTAATAAGCCTACCTATTTTTTCTTTTAAACTTAAACCAAACAAACTTATAAAGATAACAAACGGAAAAAAAAAACAACCAGTAATAATAAATATATACACTTCTAATCTTTGTATGTGTTTATTTGATTAAAGCTTTAAATTTCACAACCGATCTGCAAAATGCAAGCAAAACACAATTAAATACGGCAAAGATAAAACAATATTGGTTATAAATCTGTTTAGTCAGCACTCTACTGATATACAGGGCTATTCAGGACAATATCTAATGATATATATTGATGATAGACTTATAGCTTTACTGACAGATCTAATACCACTTGAGTTGACAGGACAATAATCTCTACACCTGCCTTGTATCTTACTATAAATCATTCTATAGTGATCACTTTATAACTGGACATCTTGTAGAATCAAGCTAAGACTTATTTGTGCACATCCGTGTCCAATTCAGGGCGTTTTTATGAATCATTAGATGGAGGGGCCATAGAATTGTCAGGGGGTGGGGGAGGGAGGCTCTCCCCTCAGCACCAGAAAATTAAGAACTCTATGATAAACAAGTTGAAACAGGGAAACTGAGAAGTTATATAAGTAAGCAGGCAACACTAGCATGGTAGTTCTTCTTGAATTGTTATATTACCTTGTGCAGGATTTTAATTCTATAAAGTGATACAGATAGCAGAAATTTCTATATTTGCATTTTTATAGCTCTTAATTCACTCCTTTAGCAGAAATTTTACACTTTTCTTTAACAGCTTTCAAGACTTTAGATCTAGAGTTTGAAAACAGTAATTCACTCCCTTTTAAAACAAAAAGATTGGCAATTTCCATCAAACGAATCAGCTATAAAAATCAGTGAGAACCAATCAATAAACTAATGAAGTATGAAATGAACATATTGTATCATTAAGAAAAACAAACTGAGTTAAAACATGTCATGTTGTAGTTTTTAAACACAATTCATGTTAACATCATCAATACTAATAACTCTCACAGTTCAGGGATAGTTTAGTATTCCAGTTTCACACATGAATGCAGAATTTGGACACCAATTTGAAATACCTGAGGCCTTGACTGCAATAACCACCTTTCTTGTATCACGAAAGTTTGTAAATGAAGCGACTTGATTGGATTGTACATTAGCAAATACAGCCAATCAGAGGCAACAACAGAAAGTCTATAAAGACTAAGCCATAATGTTTACAGTCTTTCTGTCAAAGGCTCTGATTGGCTGTACTTGCTGCAGTATAATCCAATGAAATTGCTGCATTCTGTGATACAAGAATATTGACCATTGTAGTCAAGATATAAGACAAAGTTAGTAATAGCTTGACATTGTCAAGATGCTGGTACGAAAGAACTTTAAAACAATTTTTGTCTTAAAATCTTAAATAATGAAATCTGATCAATAAACAAAAATATAATCCATGTATATCCTTTAATCCCTTAAAACTTGACCTCTCTGTTTAATCACAATAGACAGAGGTCAAATTATAAATTTAATACGGACCTATATTAAATACGGGGGCACAAGATAAAATAATAATTGGTTAGATCAGTCAACCAGAACAAGATAGAGGTTCAAACATCTAATTAGATTTAATCATAGTTGAATACAGAAACACTACAATGTCATTTGGGTTCATTTAACTTTAAAAATCAACCAGAAAATTGATTGTCAAACATGAATGGTAAGATTTGAAAAAAAAAAAAATTAAAATCTGTAACTTTAAAATCTTGTTATAGAATTCAGAAATCTGAAAATTCATTTAAAGGTTCATTTAACTTTGATTTTAATGGAAAATTTTAATTCATACAAATTAGATTGTTGATTGATAATGTGGTAAGATTTCCAAGAAGAAATTTTAAAAATCTGTAACTTAAATGTTTCTTGTAGAGATTGGAATCTTCAAAATTACCATATTATATTTTTATAGAAATTGTTTTGCTGAATGTATGATTTCAATCAAAAAAAAAAATATTGGATTTGTACAAATTTAGTAATAATTGATAGTAAGATAACCTTTCAAATAAATATATTGGAAAAACCTTTTAGTCAATTCCTTTGATGTCTTCCATAATCCTGACATAGTGAAACAGTTCAAAACTTCAAATTTACAAAATAAAAGTAACTTTATTTTGAGAATTCTTTCATATGAAGTAAAAATGCTGATGTACTAAAACAATTCATGCCAAAAGTTGGAAATACCAGGAAAAACTTCAAAGTTACAAAGTTGGAAATACTACAAACTATAATTTGATTTAGTTTAATCAAATCTTACAGTATAATAGAATAATTTGGATATAATTTGATCTCAAGTAGCCCTATAGTGCTTTTTCTACTTTAGTTTTATGGTATACAAGGGTTAAACAAATAGATAACATGTCCATGTTAAAAAGTAGTTAACCCTCTCAGAATCAAAACCATGAGGCCACAAATGTCATGTGAAAATTCTCTAGGAATGGAGCCTAATCTCTTACTTTTATGCAAGTTAATACAGTGGGCAATAAGGGAAAAAATATAGCATGTCCATATCAAAAAATAGTTAGAGTCAAATTACACAGCAGTAAAACTTTGTGTGGGATTTAAATATCTAACTGAACAGAAATGGAGCCAAACCTCTTTCTTTTCTCCACTGGAATGGAAGCAACCTGCAGTAAACGATGGGGGAAATTTTACCAAGTCAGCAGCCTTAGCCTACTCTCGTCAGTCAAAGAATCTTTAACACAAATTCTAAATTTTTTGTTCTATTCAAATGAGGGACCTCTATTCTTAACATGAAGTCAATAAAATGTTTTAAAACTCACCCTTTCGCTCAAAGCATTATACTTGATTCCTAGTTCATCTCTTTCAGCAGCACTTTCTGACAGCAAGTTTTCTACCCTGTTTAACTCTTGCGCTAAAAGTCTGTTTTCTTCTGTCAGTTGACTGACGTTGGGGTTGAGCGTTGACGTCATGGTGGATGCCGGTGAAGCTCGGTGAGATAAATTCTTGGTGATGATTTCCCTTATTCGTGCTGGTATTTTTGCCGTTGATGTTCCGTCGTCACCCAGTATCTGGTAACCTTGACTATCTCTTAATACTGAATGTTCTAGTCTCTACAAAATATAAAATAATCACATTAAATACATTGTCATTATGGACGCCTGATGCCACTTAGACTGTGGGAATAGACAGAAAGACTGAATGGATAAACTATGGGCAAATGAATGAATGAATGAACTATGGTCAAATGAGTGACTGAATGAATGAATGAGTGAATGAAAAGATAAATGAATGAATGAATAACTGGTTGAAGGAATTGAAAGTTTATCTATATATTTCTGCACATATTGAGCTGGCATTACCATGTATTACCATATGGTGAAAAAAGAAAAATTTTGGCCTTAGTGTTTGTCTAAGAAAAAAATGATGTGTAGTGTGTGCCCAGCTCTGACGTGTTATACAACTTTAGCCCCTTCATCAATAATAATTAACTAAGTTCGTTAAAACAAGAAAAATAGAAACGAAAAAAGTTGTTTATTTATTGATCATAATGATTGTTATTATTGACGTTGTGTTCATCATTAAACTATAAACAAACAGTCTCTTGAGCCTACCATGATATTTTTAACAATTAATGTAATTACAATAATTATAGGTAAACAATCAGAGGCTATCAAATCAATCAAAACAATCAAAGGCTATCAAATCAATCAGCAAATCTCAATTTCATCTCAAATCAAAGGTTTGTCAACTCAGCTTTTATTTTTATCCTAATCAGCAAGCAAGTGTCTAGATCTAGATAACATTTCCAGAACACTTGAGGCCACTCTGAGAAAAGTTCTGTTTTTGTCAACTTTGCACTCTTTTAGTACAAGAAAATGACCATTAATTTCTACATTTTAATGTCAAAATTTGTCTATTTAAATTTAAAAGAATATCATCACAACTTTTTGACTTTGCTTGGAATCATAAGAAATCATTTATGTATCAACAAAGCCATGATCGTGCCAATGCCAGCCGAGCTCACACAAAATTCAGTCAAGCGTATCAAAGTTCCATTGCATTCGTGAAAACCCCCCACCCCCAAAATCAAATCGATGATATGTAAATATTGTAAACACAAACCGTAAGGTCATTATCAAAGAGAATTCCAAGACTTCTGCGAATGCTATCGTGAAAATTGGCCCCTTCTCGGACTGGGGGTGAGTATCGCCTCCCAAAACTCATGCCAAAACTTCAATCGGTGAGAATTTTCTGTGAAAGTTTCCGATTTCACAGCATCTTTACCAACTTCCTGAAACTTTTTGACCTACTTTATCAAGCCTCGCGATGAAATCCCGTGAAACCTCGCTCATCACTTCCGTCTCGTTACCATGTCAACGAATTTAGGGGAAAACCCACATCTTAAAGGGGGTTTCCACTGCAGCTACTGTCCTTTGAAGGATGCCGCGCCTGCGACACATAAAGCCTGAAACTATTGAAAAAAGCGCTTCGGGTTGATTCTGCTGAGATCAGTGTGGTTTTTTGTTTGGTACCGAATCATGCTAGCGGCATACCTTTCAGCTTTCCGTTCCTGGCGTACGACGCCATACTGTGTGCAATGAAGGAAATTTTGCCAAGACACTTTCAACTAATATGCCTTTCCCCGATAAACATCATGCTACCTACATTTTTACCTGGCTTTACAATTCAGAAAGATAATTGAGGGTCTCTTAGTCGACCCGATGAAATTAACTACACCAAATTAACAAGAGCACTAATCCTCTAATACGTTTTCTCCTCACGTTCGCACCATAATGTTTTGCCAAACATACATAAACAAATAACGACGTATTCTTAAAAATATCAAAATAACATTTCTTAAATAAATCTCCAATTGATAAACCCAGTTGCAGAGTATCACCTGGTGCTCGGGGGATGAGCATGCCTTGTCACGTCAGCAATGTCGGTGCTAGGTTTTATTCTTGGACTCAAAAGCTGAAATCTGATAAGTTGAAGAATAACACGGGTACACTCTTGTCCATCAACAGAGTCATCGATCTTATGGATATATGCAAAAAGTTTTTGAGCTTGCTTTCAAGAGGTTAAAGCTGAAAGGTTTAAAAATGACCACAGGGCCAGTCCTGTCCACCAGTAGAGTCTCCGATCTTGTGGTGTGTCAATACTCAAGGAAAGGTCTTAAAGATCAGTTCAGACTTAACACGACAATAATTAGGGACAGTTCTACGTTTAATCTTATTATGTTCACCAAGCCTTTCTTATTACCTTTCTTAAGCTGTGTTCCGAAATGTCCGCCCTGAGCTAGCTTTACGTTAAATCCGAAAGAAAAATCCGTCAGTCATAGCTAAACTAAAAACTGCACCTGAGTGGCTATTGTCGAGTAATTAATACAACAATTTCTTTATACCTTCAAGATATCAGATTAACTGAAAATGCGAGTCATCAATTTTAGATTGATCATAATATAGATACTAGCCCTACGTGTTGTAAACCGGATTTCTTCGCATTGGCCTTCAATATCGTACAGGTGTTTTTCTTTTTTATCGTAAGCTTACCTATTGAACGACAGTTCTAAATAAAAAGAAATTACCAGCAGAATTTAACCTAAATCAGGCGACTTTTACGCTTAATACCAGCCTTTGTATACTTCCCCCGATTTCTAAGTATATGATTTCGCTGTTAACTTCCGTTAAGCTCATATTCTCAAGGGAGAAGACCTCATTCGACATTGACAAACCGAAAATAAAAACAAAATTCAACCCCAAATCAGTCATCAATTTTGAATTTATCACGAGCCCTTCGTGAAGTCAGTTACCTAGATTTTAAAATAAGTTTTCAATATCACAAAGGCAAAGAAAATCATAACTTACATGTCAGGCAAAATCAGAAGTTTAATTTAAAAAATAAAATCCACTGCCATGAAACTTAGACCAAAATACATGATATAGAATGCTGTACACTTTGGACATGCATATTTGTATTCCATAATTACAACAGTCATTATAAGCATTGATTTATGTTTAAATATTGTGTTTGTAATAAAGATAAGAATCAGAATAAAAAAAATATATTTAAAGGGATTGTAAGGAGGTTTTCTAAACTGTTTAGTGTGTATTGGAGACATTGATAGCATGGATTTGCACCGAATTCAAGAGGGATTATCAAGAGGTTTACGCAAATGTTTAAGTGTATCAGGGACACTGATTTTGCACCATTCTAATTTTCAATCAGATATCTGTGGTATCTGTAATTCCACCAAAACTAAATAGAGTATCTCTTCTAACACTTATACCAATTGGTAGTGGAATATCATAGTCGGTTGCGAGTTGGATTTTCTTCAGCAAGGCGATTAGGGGCCGTACGTTCAATTTGTCAAGACAGGAAACCTTCTTAGTCCACGATCTGTGCTTTCGAAAGTCGGCCCCATGTCGGCTGTCAATCCCTATCATAATTGTCAGTCGATTTCCCCATAATGGATCTTTAAATAGGTTAACGTAAACGTATTATAACTTGCCTAAAGATTACAAACTAATAACAAAAAATAAACACTATAACTACACCTGAATAACTTTCTCGATTCTTTGATCTCGGTAGCCTACGGATGTCATTTGGTCTACCCTAGGGTATAGACCACACCTCCGTCTCTCTCACACCCCTACTGACACTACAGGTGTTCCGGGTATGACACCTTCGTCAGTGCCTGCAGTCTGCAGCGTGTCCTCACACTCCGTACGTATCTACACTACTGTACCAAAGATGAAAGAAGAATTTCTACGAAGCCATTCATAAAAATCGATCACGGACATAGTTCGATAACAACTGATCGGCAACCGTCACCTTTGTTAACAGAGGGCGCTTGGTAATAGCCCTGCCTTAATGACAATCGCCTGACATGTCCGATCTTGACTCGAGCAAGGCGGGCTGTACAGGCTATCATATTTATCTTACGTATTATTGTACTATATAGCCTGAGCTCTACTTTTATTTCGATTCTGTCGGTTATTTTTCACAGTAATCGACCAGCTGAGTCAGAAAAACTTTTTCGAAAAATTCTCCGGCTTTGACGTTTCACAATTCGAATATCGAAGAGCATATTTCTTTAATATTTATAAGACTTTAAGACAGATACAGGTCTTTTCCTGAAAGCAATGGACGTGGCAGCAGGAATGTATTTGCCTAAGTTGGGATTCGAACATGGCACCTGACCTGCTCTAGCCGGGTCTATATATCAAACGTTTTGTGTATACAGCCGAAACTAACTAACACAACCCTCCTCTGTTTCAAGAT